CAAGGTGTATATAAGGCTCATATTCAGTTTGGAGTCAGAAACAGCAGTGAAAAAGAGCTACCTATCATGTCGTCTTGTCTTGACATCAGTACAGGTTTCACGGTAAAGAAAGAACAAAGAGCTGAAGGGTAAAATGCCCTGAGACAGTTCTTGAGAAGTCAAGTGATGGAGCTGTCTCATTCAAAGAATAAACAAAAACCAGAAAAGTGGTTAAGCGTGGAGAGGAGGATCGAATCAAAATCACAAGAATATCAATCCTCTACGCTTGGAGTACATCAGTTGCTTTCTCAAGTGAATACAGGTTGAAAACTGGTCAATGGCAAGATAAAGACATGGTAGTGTGAAAGCTAATCACTGGAGTTAAAGATGGCCAGGCGCTATGAATCATGATGAGCTGAGTATGTGTTGCGAGCTATGTGCTGAGTCAGTCTCTGATGCATCTTTGCTGAAGAAGGTAAAATAAAATCTGTGTCAAAAGTTTTTCAAAGCCAGTTTAAATTATGACATTTGAGCTATCATTATCAGTTTAATTCCCATAATGTTCTTGATTAAATGTGGCTGTGTTGATTTTGTTCTTGGTGTTGTGGTTCTAATGACTTGATGAAGAGTGTGTTGCAGTGTTCTAGAGATGATTCGAGTCTTTCTACTTGGTCGATTTAAATCTGTTAGAGTGATGACCTTTTTTTTTGGGCTGTGTGTTTAAAACAAAATGAGAAGTTGGGCTTCAGATTTTTGTATGGGCTTAAAGTTTACTCAATGGGCCTCAAGAAAATTTTAGGGTTTTACCCAAAAGGAAAAGATGTTCGGTCTATTTAAGGAGCCGCGAAAGGAGAAGTCGGAGGCAAAGAGTCTTCTTCTTCGTTGGAACCATAGAAATCTCATAGCAAAGAGATAATCATGGTGACAGAGGCACATCACTTGGAAGTTAGCCGTACGGTTGAACAGAAAGAGGATGCATCAGGTGATGATGCTCGTCCACACCTTGTTAATTATTCAAGCGACAGCTCCGATGCATCAACACTAGCTCGAAAATAGGTCACTCTGAGTGTGACGACGTCCGTAGATGATGTTGAAGTCTCCGATGAATATTGGTCAAGAGATGGAGAAGAAAGTGATACAGGAAAATCTTAACATGACACGAAAGCATCAGTACTGAGAAAGAGGAAGGAAAGAGCCTGGGAGACCGACTCTGAATCAGGTTCCGATGAGGACATATCATCTCTACAGAGTTTGCCTCACGAGATAATACAACCTCAGCTTGGATATGGGAATAAATCACACGAAAAGTTGATTCATCCATTTGCCAACAAGGAGAGTCGTAGGGGGGACGCAACTTTCAAGAAAGAAGACGTCAAGTATGAGTTTCAGAGAGCAACCAAGCATGAGCCTCAGAGCTCGGCTCAATCAGAGTTCTGAAGGGTCCAGCAAGTCGTGCCACCATCAATGCAAGTATTCATCGATTGATCATGGTAATGCATGAATTGTGTAAAGTAGCGGAGAATCTGCGACAGGCCAATCAGGTAACCTTCATGACTTTGTCTGTATATTTTCCTTTGCACTAATGTGTTGTGTTTTTAACTTGTGTGCTCACAAGCAGGAGGAGAAAGTGGCTAGGAGTTGGTATTGATTTGTGGGGGAGAAGCATGAGACCGAATGTTTTCTTAGGGTTTGATTCTTAGTGTTTGAGTTTTGGGTTTATTCGGTTAATGAATACTAGGATTATGGGGGAGTTTTGTTGTTTTTGAACTTGGGGATTTGATCTCTAAAAGTCACCTTCGGGCAAAGACCAATGAAGTGATTTTTACACGGCTTTTTAGTATTCTTCAGGTCTTTGGGATCTTGTTATTTGTGTGTTTGGTTTGTAGTGATCTTCTTTTGCAGGTGCTTGTAAGACACGCCAAGTTAAAAAAGAGGAGATTGAAAATGTAGCTGTTGTAGTAGTGACTTGTACCAGTCGTGAAGTATTATAGGTGGTTGTACGAGCGGACTGACTAAGCTTAATGCCTCATGGGCTTGAAGAGTGGGCTGGACCAAGCAAGGATGGACGTGACTTGATGCTCTAGGTGAGCTGGAGGCGTTCCTTGGAGAGTGAAGATG